AAGACAAAAGTATTTTCAGTTAGCAAATTATATACCACATACAAGTATACCTTTTCACCCCATGATATATATCGTAAAATTATACAGCATACTATTCTTAATTCTTAAGTACAATAGGTTAAAATCATAGTATACTTACAGATTGTCATCATTTTACCCCAATATCCGTCACCTAGACTTCATGTCAGTTTGACGTTATATACAATGTCACCAAGACCATCATTTGCCATTAAAGACAAGAAAATCATTATGTCACCAAGACCATCATTTGCCATTAAAGACAAGAAAATAATTATGTCACCAAGACCATCATTTGCCACCACGACAAGAAATATTCACCTAGGATTTTACAAAGACATTTAAAATCACACGGAACAAACATAAGACATTAGACATGTCGCTTTCTCCCTACTGTACTTCGGGAACAGCAACTAACAAAATCAGAATACCTTCTTAAATACCCTACCTCAAACTAAAACTCACACACAGCATGATTTCCAGACAGTCATATGTACACATGTACATCACTCGTGGGTTTTATAATTAACAACCAGAACACCTTGTTAAATTCAATGCATTTATTTCAGTCTGGATAATCAGTAAATAATCTATGGCAGTAAACAAGGTCAATGAGTACATTAAAGAGACAGTACCCAACTCTATAAAGGTGCAATACCTCACTCAAAGCATGATTTTGTGACATTACTTAAAAATCTTTATGGGAGATAAGATAAAGAGATGGCAGTTCTCGCTATAATAGTTAAAAACTAAATAGTGTAAAGGTAATTTGGTGAAAATTTCAGTCAAATTGATCCACTATGAGCCGAGAAAGAAGCGGTGAAATTTTTGCATAGTCTCGGTCATCATTACTAAAATCATTAATATAAACAGCATAGTCTTGATTATCCACTTTTATTGATTTAATAATCAAAAGCTGTTAGCGGCATATAGGAATCTAATCCAGCCAACATCGAAGGCTAGCCTTGACATCGAGAGTTTATTATGGTCTGGATAAGTTAATTAATGTCTAATTGATAATTTAGATAACATTTCAGGCCTAAAGAAAGACTTGTAATAAGCAGATTTTGCTCTTGCATAATGCATGTTTAATAAGTTGTTACTCTTAATCTGATTTTAGTGTATTATAAAAGTTTCATTACTGAAAAAAGTGAAAATATGCGACAACTCTTGTTTACTGCCTGGACGATTTAGCTGCTGTGGGCGTATGTTTCGTTGCCTGACAACCAGGGGTCGAAATAACGCTTGTCTACTTGTCGAATCCAAGTAACATTTTCAATGGACAAGTAGAAAAAAAATATACTTGTCGCCGGCGACAACTAGAATAATATCTATAAAAATCCAGGCTAAAAATGTATGTTTGTTTTATCCATTCCAATAAAATTGGAAGAGGAAAACTTTTCATTTTAAAACAAATTAGACGTTATTTAACAGCACGTGAAAAGCTGTCCGTGTGTCTCCATAGCAGTATGGTGGCGAATTTCTCCTCGATTAACAAGACTGAAACTTAAATGGTCCTTTTAAGTTCGCTCCATACGTCTGGGAAAGGGTTCTTTGCATTAAAATAATAACACTACTGAGTCTGAGAAAGCCGTAATGCCATTGGCCATTCCTTTTTAATCACCGAATCACAGTCAATATTACATAACTCCATGGCAATCATGGCTCAGCTGTAGGTCGTCAAATTGGCGATTTACGATATTAAAATGGAAGTTGTGATTAAAATTTAATTTTGTCGATAATGTTTTTGGGTACATGGTGGTAAAAAATCTTAAAATTCTAATCGTATACATGTATATATGTCCTTGCTGGACCATTAATTGTCCCCCGCCTTTCGAAGAAAGCAGGGGACTATTAAAATGGGTTCGTCCGTCTGTCTGTCCGTCTATCTGTCTGTCTGTCCGTCTGTCTGTCCGTCACACTTTTTGGGACACAATAACTCTCCTTATAATTGACCTAGAATTTTCAAACTTGGTGCAGGTGTTTATTAGGTCAATGCCTTGATGGAGTTCGAAGATGAGCATTTTCTGCTTAGGGTAAGCAGAGATAAGTAATTTGATTGGTTGATGCTTTGGGACACGATAACTTTAGTTCTAATTAAGTGAGAGTGATGTATAGTTTCATTACATCAATATCTTGACTAAGTTCGATAATGAGCATTTTCTGCTCAGGGTAAGCAGAGCGATAAGCAATTTGATTGGCTAAGACTTTGGAACACAATAACTCTTCTTCTAATTGAGCCAGAATGTTCAAACGTGGTGTAGGTGTTTATTAAGTCAATGCCTTGATGGAGTTCGAAGATGAGCATTTCCTGCTTAGGGTAAGCAGAGATAAGCAATTTGATTGGTTGATGCTTTGGGACACGATAACTTTAGTTCTAGTTAAGTGAGAGTGAGGACACTTGGTGTATAGCTTTATTACATGAATACCTTGACTAAGTTTGATAATGAACATTTTTTGCTGAGGGTAATCAGAGTGATAAGCAATTTGATTGGTCGACAGTTGGGAGCACAATAACTCTCCTTCTAATTGAGGTAGAATGTTCAAACTTGGCGTAGGTGTCTATTAGGTGAATGTTTAAATTTGATGTAGATGTTCATTAGGTGAATGTTTAAACTTGATGTAGATGTTCATTAGGTGAATGTCTTGACTGAGTTCAATGATTAATAATTCGAGCTGACGCTAAGCAGAGCTAATCGATTTCATTTGTCGATGGTTTGGGACAAGATTATCTTGATTCTATCTGATAGAGAGTGATGAAACTTAGTGTAATGTTTAATTGCTTGATACTTTTGAAAAAAATAAATGTGCGATTAATTAATATGTGTCATCTTTTTATTTTGGTATTTTGGCGGGGGACATCAGCCTCACTGTTGGCTTGTTACCTTGAAATTTGAATGCCAATCACAACCATGTGGTGAACATGCGGCATACATCAATTATATATATATAAATCTTATCATTTGATGTTTCGTTTTGTCTTAAAAAATAAAATAAAATATATTAGAAAATTCTTTCCGAAGAAAATTGAATATTTTGATTGTTGAATTCCGTTTGCTGTGGTTCATTTGGAATGTAAAATATACACGCATGCCTGATTGGATACCGTATTATTTCAAATTATATTATCACCATGGATGAGTCGGAAAAGTGCAGACAACGAACGAGTCGGAATAGCGAAGATTCTCGAGTGAGAAAACGGTTGTCATTTGTTTCAATACTTCCACCAAGATGTGCTAAAGTGAACGCATAGTCTGATTGTAAGCATCTCTTACAAATGAAATTGAAATACAATAAGTTTATTTCTTATTATTTTTTTTTTATTAAAAACGAAAATCAGTGTAAAAAATATTTCTACTTGTCACCTGAGACAAGTAAAATTTTACAAACATTTCAACCCCTGCTGACAACCTATCTTTTTCTTTGTGTGTCTGTGTGTTGGATCGTCTTGGAACTTAGAATATGTATTCCTTATAGCCTAAAGACAACAACTGCACGTTCCGAGCCCAAGGGGCAAAGCCACGCCCAATTTTTATACGCCAACATTGAAATGTTAAAAACAAAGTCGTGGGTGTCACAAAACCACGACTTTGTTTTTAACCACTCCTACTACTGGTGTCACCGTATCAAGTTTATTATGACTTAGATCCCATCTAAATTCAAATGGTTTTGGATTCCTCTCTCTTTATATATTTGGATTCACACATCGAAATGTGGTCGTATATTGTTGTCTGTCCGTCCGTCCGTCCGGCGTCCACAATTGCTTGTGGACGCTCTATAGGCTAAAGTTAATATCCGATTGACTTTAAATTTATACACAGTGTTTAGGAGTTATGGGCCTTGATCACTTCAAAAAATCTTGTGGATGCTCTAGAAGTCAAAGTTAATATCCGATTGACTTTAAATTTATACAAAGTGTTTAAGGTCATGAGACGAAGAAGACTATTGATTTTCAGCGATTTCCGATAATTACTGCCACAGGTAGGTCCCTTGATCACTTTGAGAAATCTTGTGGACGCTCTAGAGGCTAAAGTTAATATCCGATTGACATTAAATTTATACACAGTGTTTAAGGTCATGAGATGAAGACGCCTATTGATTTTCATCAATTTCCGATAATTACTGCCAGAGTTATGGCCCTTGATCACTTTGAAATTTTTTATGGACGCTCTAGAGGCTAAAGTTATCATCCGATTGACTTCAGATTGATACACAGAGTTTAAGGTCTTGAGATGAACAAGTATATCGATTTTCAATGAATCTTTATGACTTGAACAGCTAAATCCATGATGTTAAAAGTTTAGTATACTAAACGTTAGCATGGGGCAGAACTTTATAAAAACCAAACAAATTCTAATGGTTTTCTGATAATTACTTAATGAGTTGTTACTCTTAATCATATTTTAATGTATTATAAATGTTTCATTACCAAAAAAAGTAAAAATATGCGACAACTCTTGTTGACTGCCCGGACGATATAGCTGCTGTGGGCGTATGTTTCGTTGCCTGGCAACCTATCGTTATGTTTATCATATACAGGCTGCAATTCTGAATGGATCAGCTTGGAACTTGGCATTATGTATTCCTTATAGCCAAAGGGAGGCAACTATTAATGTGATCCTATTAATTTATTATAAAAATTGAGATCAAACGGGGGTGTTTAAAGAGCTCAATGTTTATGTAAACCTACGTCATTTAAAGATGATGATGGCACCATCGGATTTCCTTAACAGGAGCCTGACAAACCCCCTCCTGCAAAAGTTCCTGGGTCCGCCTGTGTGGTAACAAGGATTATGCTCTCTGGTTCAGGGTTTTGGGCTATTTTGAGGAATTCATTGATTATATTGGGAGTTATAAAAGTGTCACTTTAAAATGTTTAATAGTGACAAGGGTTATAAACAGCTCAAACAACTATGCTGCTTGTGGGCATCTTTGATATCCTGGCATCTTTGATATACTGGCAACTTATTCTTATTTTTTAGAGACCAGAAGTACAAAGATGTTTTCATCAATTGAGTGCTGTTCAAAGAAATTCATATTGTTTAAAAGATGTCCGGATTCAATTATCACAGAGAGAGAGAGAGAAAATACAGTTGTCTTGTGTTAGCTTAATAGCTGTGAGATATGATTCGACCTCATCAAACCAAGTAAATCATTTATTTTATTTTTATGATATACAATGAAACCAACTTTGGTTTAGATTATTTTACCATATGATACATTCCTCAAAAATTTGAAAATTCATGAGTTAATGTAAAGCATTTTTGCAGAGACACCATTTTTAGGGGAACACTCTGCTACAGCGTACATTTATTATCTGATATTAATTCAGATAGCTGACCTAATTATGATTCTAACTACTGGGTATGTATAATATGTATTGAGTTATTAAAATGTAATTTTCGATATTTTGGCATTTTTGGCACCTTTAAACATATGATAACTCAATGAGATTTTATTAGCAGTGCCAACGTGTTTTCAGATACAAACAATGACTCTAAAATGACAATGATACTGCAATTGTGAACTATCTAGAATGAAGAATCTGAAAAAATTTTAAAAAAATATTGAAAATTAAAAAAGTTAAAGCGTTTTGAAGAGTCCAAACCAGAGGCACCAAAAAAAGGCTTTTTAAAAAAACCGCAAAAAACTGACCGAAGCCAATATCTCAGTAACTATATAAGGAAAGATCTATGAAAATTTCACTAACTAGAGATCTAAATGTACTTGATAAAGCCAAATTGTCGCTATAATATTCTGATATATACTTTTTGTGTTACAGAGGTTCAAAGTTGGGGTCTGTGCCGATTTCGCACAAATCACAGCAAAAAAATAGACAAATTTGTGTATACTTAAATTGTAGCGCTTTGACATTAATACAGAGCCTTATTTTTGAATGAATAAGCACACACACGCAGTGTTTTCAGTCTGTTCTGTTATTTTTTTTTTGACCGTTTGATGTCAAGGTCGAAGAGAAACAAGTTTATGTATGTAATTGGGCACCTACTGGTCCCGAGGCCGTTGACCACTGGTCATTCACAGTCATAAAACAATTACAAACCGGTTATACTGTAGATTTTTCAAGAATCATCAAAACTGTGTGGCAAAATGGGAAATAAAATTGAACCATTTGAGTCCCGAAATGACGTAGTTTGTGTTGAGTTGACACATTTTTCTCTCTCTCCCTCTCTTTAATAATTAAACTTTTGTCCTCCTATAACCTGACGGAGACCTTAATGTTCCATAGAACAATTAGTGATGAAGTAGATAATTCATGAGTTTCGTTACTAAAAAAATAATGTTTTTCGTAACAAATTTAGGCTTCATCAATATTCTGTAAATGCAACCGGTTAGGTCTTTATGCGCAATGGATTGAACTGATTTTGCAAAAAAAAAGATTGATGTATTTACGCGCCAGGCCAATTATGCACTTTGTGTCATCTGGCGATTATGTGAAATCTAATCGGGAATTTTACCCTTTCATTTCTGTTTCATATTGGCCAAAATCTCGAATTCGGGTGGACACATCAAAGTGTGATGTCCGTTCTAAAAACAGAAAAATACTGCTATATTTGGAATAGTTTCTAGTTGTTGTTACCGTACTATAACAAACAGGAAAATGTGTTTATATTATATGGACATTTTATGTTTAGATAATAGGGGGACAACAGTTTAAGCATTAAAATGCTTAAACTGTTGTCCCCCTATTATCTAACAGGGGCCTTAATGCGTATATATTTATATACAGCTCATCTCCTTATGGTAGAAACCTATATTCCATAGAACAATGAGCGATAAAGTATAGATGATTCACAAGTTTCGTTATTAAAAAAATAATGTTTTTCCTAACATATTTTGGCTTAAGTGTGATGATGTGTTTGCGTATTTGTAAGTACTATTTTTTGCGCATTAGAGGGCCCAATTTAATCTTCTATACCGCTGCAATTTATACAATTTACTGAGTTTTTAAATTTTTCAATGGTTTCTTTTTAATGTTATCTCGGTTTTCAGCTCGAAATCTTGGAAAACATCGATAAATTTAAAACAAAAATCGATTTTTCTGCCCCCCGAGTCTAAACTCGCACTTCGCCAAGTAGTTGCAAGAAGCTTTAATGACGTGGGGCCGACATGAAATCATTTTGGTGAAGTTATCGAAAATAAGCTTTTGCCTCCCAAGTCAACAAAATAAAATGTCCGAAATCCCATTACTTTTTGGTCTTTTCCAACATGCACCAGTCTTCGGACATCGATCATTATCTATTCAGTTATTTTTTCGGGAATTGAAATAGCTTTAAATTTCGTCTCAAGTGTGATGACGTCTATATTTGTAAGTACTATTTATTGCGCATTAGGGAGACCCGATTTAATCTACTGTATCTCTGAAATTTTTATAATATAGTGATTTTTATTTGAATTTCAATGGGTTGCTCTTAAGGTTATCTGGGGGGTTTTTTAGCCAGAAATTTCGGAAAAAATCGATAGATGAAAAAAATCGATTTTTCTGCCCGATGAGTTCTGATCTCGCTTCGCCGAGTAGTTGCAAGAAGCTTTAATGACGTTGGTTCGACATGACACCATTTTGGTGAAGTTGTCGAAAATATCCTTTTGCCTTCAAGTTAACAAAATAAAATGCTTGAAATCCCATTAATTTGGTATTTTTCAACGTGCGACAGTTGATCAGCCTAATAAATGTGCTTGATCACTTTGCTGTGAATGCAGCTGGTTTAGTCTTTATGCGTATTGGGATGAATTTATTTTGCAAAAACAGGTTGCTGTATTCACGTACTGAATTAGCAACGGGTCGATTGTGCGCTTTGCGATTTCTGGCGATCATGTGAAAACTAATCAGGAATTTTATCGTTTCATTTCTGTTTTATCTTGCCCAAAATCTCAAATTCGGGTGTACACATCAAAGTCTGGTGTCGGTTCCAAAAGCATAAAATACTGTTATATTTTGGAATAGTTTCTAGTTTTTGTTACTATAATGGACAGGAAAACGTGTTTATATGGACGTTTTATGTTTAATACTTAGATTTTTGTCCCGCTATAATCTAATGGGGGCCTTAATGCGTATATTTATATACAGCTGGTCTCCTTAAGGTGGAAACATATATTCCACAGAACATTATTAAAAAGATAATGTTTTTTGTAACAAATTTCGGCTGAAGTGTGATGATGTGTATATTTGTAAATATTAGTTTTTGCGTATTTGTGGGACCCGATTTAATCTTCTATACCGCTGCAATTGTTACAATATAGCGATTTTTTTTTTTTTTTATAGTTTATCTCGGTTTTCAGCCCAAAATTTTGGAAAAAAATCATGTTTTTCGTAATGACCCCTACGAGCAAGCCTATTATTGAAAGAAATTGGAGCATTTGAGTCCCAAAATGACCTAGTTTGTGTCGAGTGGACATTAAACCCCATTTTTCTCTCTCTTACTCTCTTTAATAATTAAACTTTTGTCGCACTATAATCTAACGGGGACCTTAATGCGTATATTTTTATACATCTGGTCTCCTTAAGGTGGAAACATATATTCCAGTAAACAATGAGTGATAAAGTAGATAATCCTTGAGTTTCATTATTAATAAAATAATGTTTTTTGTAACAAATTTCGGCTTGATCACTTTTCTGTAAATGCAACCGACTCAGTCTTAATGCGCATTCGGTTGAACTGATTTTGCAGAAACAGGTTGCTGTATTCACGTGCCAGGCCGATTATGTGCTTTGTGACGTGTGGCGATCATGTGAAATCTAATTGGAAATTTTACCTTTTCATTTCTGTTTCATCTCTAGTTTCTAGTTGTTGTTACTATAACAAACAGGAAAATGTGTTTATATGGACGTTTTATGTTTAATGCTTAAACTGTTGCCCCCCCCGCCCCCCCTAACCTAACGGGGGACTTAATGCATATATTTATATACAGCTGGTCTCCTTAGGCCGTGTTAAATTAATTCTGCATTTCGGGTCAACCGCGCGTAGCTTTCACATCGTCAAATCGATGGTTGTGTTGATTTTCTACGCGGTAGTTTGTGTTGTGTTTTGATTTCGACAGCTCCGCGCGTGTACCTATCCACACAGTAAATTCTTCACTATCGAACACACGCCTGTCTAATTTACACGCATAAATATTGGTTTAAAAAAATAAAACTAGAACTGCGACGCAGTAATGACGGGTTTCACCGGTGCCCCGTTACCCTTGAACATATTTCACTTCCGGTACCGATGAAACCATTCAACAGGTTTCCATATAAGCATTGCACACATCAAATAAAATGTACACAGAATCAACCAAATCCAGCAATATCAATTCATTGTATACATTTGTTACATGTAAGTGATACTGACAAAATTACATTACTTCTGTTGATAATGAAAATGTTAAATTAGTTTTATGAAATCAGAAATGGCATAAGGCATCACATGGAGAAAATTTTATGTAAATCGAACAATAATTGCCACTTTTATAGACCAAAAATCTAGAAAAGGGACTTGTAGAAAATCGTCTATTTCTCTGTAACCGTACAAGTTATAAACCATTTTTTGGTATCTGTATGATCGTATGGGTTCAATCTATTTGTTGATTGGAATCAAATATCATAATTTTAAAAACATTACAAATTAGACTCATTTGAATAAAATATCTGTTTTGAAGGCTAAAAATACAGTTTTTGCCAAAATGACATTACTTCCGGTGATAATGAAAATCTTAAATTACTTGTATGAAATCGTAAATGGCATTAGGTATCACACGGTGAAAATTTTATGAAAATCGAATAATAATTGACACTTTTATGGACCAAAAACCTTGAAAAGTTACCTGTATAAAATCGTCTATTTCTCCGCAACTGAACGAGTTAGAAACCATTTTGTGATACCTATATGATCGCATGGGTTCATTCTATTGGTTGATTGGGACCAAATATCAAAATTTTAAACACATAACAAATACGACTCATTTGAATAAAATACTGGTTTTGAAGGCTATAAATACAATTTTTGCCCAAATTACGACATTTCCGGTGACATTGGAAATGTTAAATTGGTTTGACCTTGTTCAAATTGACATTACACATCAAATGGTGTCACTTTTATGAAAATCGAATAATAATTGACTCCTTTACAGGCAAAGTAGCGTAAAGGAT